GAACCCAAAATTTATGTTGCCAAGTGAGACATTTGTAAAGTGAGTTTTGCCCCATTTTATGACCTTTCTTGCCACAGCCGTTATGCGAATCACTGCAGTTGTGGAAGTAACACAGTTGTTAAATGAATCTGGCTTCCCTCTTGACTTTACTTGTCAGATTGTCACAGAAGTGGTCACATGACCCCAAGATCCTGCGACCGTCATAAATATGAGTCAGTTGCCAAGCAGCTGAATTTTAATCACGTGACCATGGGGATGCCGCAACAGTTGTTTGAAAAACAGTTATAACAGTGCTATTTTAAGTTTGAACAGTCATTAAACAAACTGTCGAGGACCACCTGTGCTATCAGGCTATAGAGCTGATTGTCAACAACTTGATTTATAGAAACAAAAAAGGAATGTATAAAGTCACACTTCAGCATTGTCTTTCAAACCATGGCTTAATGATGGCAATGTATGATTTACATCATTGTAAAAGCAGGAAGGATATCTGAGCATTAAACTTGTTTCAGTAATCTCATGGTCTCCTGAGTGAAGGAAAGGTAGAACGTGCTGAAATTAAGCTGATTTATAGATTCTACATCGAAATGTTACCCATCCAATATGGTAGACAATTAGCTTAATTCTCTCTCCAAAATTCAGAAAATTTACTTTGAAGTTCAGTGTACTTTAATATAGGTTTTTAAGTTGTTTGTATGATTAATCATTCCTTTTTTTATAATAAATGCTTAACAAGGGTAAAAAGCCAAAGCAAAATCCATTTTCTCTGATCTTTTTTTTGTTTTTTGTTTTCAGGAGGCACATAAATCAGAAACCTGATTTATACTTTGCACTACATTATACTATATATATGTGTGTGTGATCTATCTATTTCAGGGCTTAGACAACATAGCAAATGACAAACAAGAGGTTACCCAATATCCCTAAGCTACACTTACTAGGATTGGTATTACCTGTGATTCTCTAGGTTGCCCGGCCATTCTGGGAAAAAACCTAGTTATGCTGAAGGTGAGACTTTAAAAGAAGCAAATTCACACATTGAAACTGAATGAGTAACCAAATGATAAGTAATGAACAGCCAAGAAAATGAAAGATAGATGTGCATGTTTCTCCTGAGGGGTGTGTGGAAGTATTGGATGTTTTAAGACCAGAGATTTGCAGCACTAGTTTTTCATGGAAAATATTAGTAGTCATTGCCCTCCTGTTTCAAGCACATTTTTCTCAATCTTCAAAAGCAGAAACCTGTTCTGTCTAGCTATCTACCCCTCTCCAGATGAAAGCTCAAGCAGTCAAAATATTTTGTGTTGGTGCCAAGTTCTGCACTCCCACAGAATTAAAGCATACCTCTAGCTATCCGTAGGAATAGTTCTACTTTTCAAATTAAGAAGAGTTTTATTCTACTGTAGGGATGCAGAATATTCAAATAATGCACTCATGTTCTGATTTTTTCATTGCTTAAATCTATTTTATACGTAGTATTATAGATAATAGAGTTTGCAATGAATAATTTCAAAGATCTGGTATCACTTTAGTTCAGCTTTTGATTTCTTGAAGTTGCATGAAATCAACCTGATACTTTAATATTCTCAAGCTGTACATACTAAAATCTTTTAGGATTTTTGAATACGCAAATGAAAATGTTTCCAATGTAATCAGAAATAAATAGTGACATGGTTCACACATAGCTATAAGTCGTAACATAATTTGGTTTGCGGCTTAAAAATTTATTTTGCATTGTAGCCTTAAGGTGCTTGTCTCCTTTGTTGAAATGAAGAGTTTAGAAAATTTCTGCCTGGATTTTAAGCTTTGGCAATAATTTTGGCCATGTGTTCTCTCTAAATAGAAGTTGCCACAGTCCCTGACTGGTTGATTTCCCTGGTTCTCTACTTCTTTAATAAAAGCCAGTTGCTTTCTTTTCCATGGGTGGTCTTCAGGAAATGGGGCTTTTATTGATAGAACTTTTTTTAATGAACCCACCTCCACTCACTATCCCTCACACCTGACATCTTCCCATCCAATGCATTTACCAGCAGAATGGTAGAAAAACAACACTACCCAGGTAGTCCTTGATGTACAACCATCTGTTTAGCAACTGTTTGAAATTACAGTGGCAATAAAAAAAGTGACTTACCAGTGTTCCTCATTGATAAGACCAAACCTTCTGGTTACAACTGTCATAGCATCCCCATAGTGACATGATCAAAATTGGCAACTTGCATCTATTGACAACAATTGGCAGCATCGTGGAGGGTCATTTGATTGCCATCTGCAACCTTCCCAGCAGGCTTCTGATGGAGGAAGCTGGACTGATTCGCTTAACAACTGTAGTGATTCACTGAACAGTGGCAAAAAAGATCATGAAATCAGGCACGACTCACGTTAACAACTGCCTTGCTTAGCAACCGACATTCTGATCTCAGTTGTGGAAAACTGGCAGAATACTTGTCAGTTTCATCTAGTTTAAAACCAAAACAAGGAAGGTCCACTTGTTGGTAATCCATCCATGTTTCTTAAATAGAGAAAGAAAGAAAGGTCCTCTTCAGCTATTACTTAAGAACTGGTACACTGGCTGCATGAGCAGATAGAATGAGATCTGGAGTACCACTTACTGAAGAAGTAACTTGAGATTAAAATATATATATATATATATTCTAGTGTATTTTTCTCATCAGATTCAGATATCCTGAAAATGGCTTGTGAAGGGCAGCAGGAGGAGAATGAGCAGGAGAGGGCATGCAAGCAGCTCTGTGTAATGACCAACAGAAACACAGACATTGTGTAGAATCAGATCACTATTCTTCAACCTCAGTGACTTTCAGATCTATGTACTTCAACTCCCAGAATTCCCCAGCCAGTCCTAACTAGCGAATTCTGGGAGTTAAAAGCCCACATACGTGAAGGTTACTGAGGTTGAGAAACACTGCTCTAGATGGTGGCAGAGAAACTTATGTGGATGGAAACATCACTTTTGAAGTGATGCAGAAAGTATTATTGCAACCGACTCCTTGTTGGGATAGAGGTGAGCTTAGGATGATTCCCTTGACTCGAGGTGTAAAATGTGATGGCTGAAATGTTGCCCACTGGCAATTGTGTAGAATGACCCTCAGATATGTATGAACCTCTCCTTACTCCTTTTAATATTAACTGAACTAGGACATGACTAGTTAAAAAAAATGCTGATGATCAGTATTTTAAAACGTTGCGAGGTCAATGTTCCTGTATCTGTGAAGGATAGGCTTATTTTTATCCAGAATAACTTAAAATAAATCAATAACCACACTCGATTTAGCACATGCAGTTTAAACATTGTATTGCTTCAAACAGAATTTATCAGAGAATGGGCAAAATGCAACCTCCCCCCCCAATTGTTTTCCATTCACATATTGTTCCAAAACAGTTGCATCTTTTTTTAAAAAAAAAAATCTGACACTTTAAAACATATGTGTCCAGCAGAAGATTCTCTGAGCATGTTTAGGCTGTTTGTTTCTAAAAATACCCTGGAGGGGACCTTGTATCTCTGAATGCCTCCTCAGAGGTGATCATTGCCCCGGGTTTCAAAGGGAAAAACAAGAAGCTATAAGTTAAGTTGAGACCAGGTTGATGTAGTGCAGGGGTGTCCCACCTTGGCAACTTTAAGACTTGTGGATTTCTAACCTAGCAGCTTGAAAGCATGCAAATGCAAGGAGATACATAGTACATCCCATACTTTGGTGGGAAGGTAACAGTGTTCCATGCACCTTGGCGCATAGTCAGGCTGGCCACATGACCATGGAAGTATCTTCAGACAGTGCTGGCTCCCTTGGTTAACAGGGGAAATATCTATCTTTATAAGTTAGGTTGAGATGCTGGCTAAGGAATTCTGGGAGTTGAAGTCCACAAAAAGTTCCCACGGTTGGACACCCCGATGAAGGGGTTAAAGTATCAGGCTAAAAAAAACCTGGAAACCATGAGTACTAGTCCTGCTTTAGGCACAAAAGCAGCTGGGTGACCTTGGGCCAGTCTCTCTTTTTCAAGGCAAGGACAAACCACTTCTAAAAAACCTTGCCAAGAAAATTCCAGGTACTTGCCCAGACAAGTTGCCAGAAGTCAACCCTGACTGGAAGCACAAAAAAAAAAAGAAAAAGAAAAAAGTTAAGTCGTCCTTTACAGGTAGTCCTCAACTTACAACAATTCATTTAGTGACCATTCAAAGTTACAATAACAGCAGCACTTAGAATTATATACAGCTTCACAGTGCATTACAGCTCTCTCTAAGCGGTTTACAGAGTCAACACATTGCCCCTAACAATCTGTGTCCTCTTTTTACCGACCTCAGAAGGATGGAAGGCTGAGTCAAGGTTGGCAGTGAAAAATTGACTTATGACCATTTTTCACACTTATGACTCTTGCAGCCTCCCTATAGTCACATGATCAAAATTCAGATGCTGGGCAACTAGTTTCATATTTATGACGGTTGCAATGTCCCAGGGTCATGCAATCAGCTTTTGCGACCTTCTGACAAGCTAAGTCAATGGGAAAGCCAGATTCATTTAACTACCCTGTTACTTACCTAACAATTGCAACGATTCACTTAACAACAGTGGCAAAAAAAGTTGTACAATGGGGCAAAATTCACTTAATCCATGTTTCACTTAGCAACGTAAATTGTGGGCTTAATTGTGGCCATAAATCGAGGACTACCGGTATTAGGACCATCATACCAGCCCTGAAAAAATCCAGACGACTACGGTAGTACAGTGGACGTCGGGCCAAGAGTTATGCGTGGTTCTTCCGTGTGGACTTTTTTCAGCCCAGGTGCCCTCGCCACCCTCGCTGTATGCCCAAGTGGGCGAGAGAGGCAGGTGGGTCCCGCCACTTGTGTCTGACGTCCTTCCGTCTGATTAACCTCAGAGGTCGGTGAGGCATCCAGACTGGAGGGCTGATTTCCCCCGAGACGCGCAAGAGGCTAGCACCGAGGGAGCCACGCCGCCATTCAGACTCGAGGCGTCCTCCTCACACCTCTCCTCAGACTCCGGCTCAACTCGTGGCCGGCCCGACAGGAGGCGGCCTGGAGGCGAAGGCGGGCAGCGGCCGTCCGCGCCTCCAAGCACCGCCCTCTGCGTCCCTCCCTCTCCTCCTCGGTTTCCTCCTCCTTCTCTTCGCCCACGGCCCGCCGTCTTTCTGGCTTGCCTGGCAGCGCGGCGGAAGTCTCGCTAGAGCCGCCGCTGCTGTTGCTGTTGCCGCTGGCGGCGCGTCCCTGGAGGCGGCCCGGAGCAGGAGCGAGCAAGCGCCCCGCGTCCGCTTGGGAAAAGAGGGAAAGTCGCCTTCGCCAAAAACGGAAGACTGCGCTGGTTCGGGAACGCCGGCAGCAACTGTCGCCGCGCCGCCTCAGCATGGCAGAAGGAGCCCGTTCCTTGCTGGGAGGCAGCCGCGGCTTGAGCCCGGCGTCCAGCCCACTGATGGGCAGAGGCGGCAAGAGCCGCTCGCTGCCCACGCCATCGTCGTCGTCGTCCTCTTCGACTTCTCTGCAGCAAACCCACCACCACCAGCCCCAGACGCCGCCTGCCTCCCCGAAGCAGCCGCCCCCGCCGCCCCAGCTGACGGCTCGAGGCAGCCCGCCCGGGCACTGCTTCAGGAGGGTCACCCTCACCAAGCCCACCTTCTGCCACTATTGCACCGACTTCATCTGGGGGTTGGCCGGCTATCTCTGCGAAGGTAACGCTGCGATGCCGAAGAAAGTGTTCGTGGCGGGCGCGTGACGCGGGGGACGGCCGGGCTCGCCACTTCCGCGGGTGGGGGAGCGCCCAAGGGGGAGAATGCCTGTCGTTTTTTTTTCGCTCCCCCCCCACCTCCCCAAACCCTCTCCCCTAACCCCCTCCCCTCGACTTTGGGCGAGTGGAAGCTTGTTCTCCCCGTAGGGATGCCGCCGCTCCATCTCATATTTGCCCAGCTGCGCAACATCTTTAGGACCTTTATAAACTGTGGTTAGTAAAACCCAGAATGAATGAGTTCTCCAATATGGGACTCTTTAAAGAAACGTGGGTAATTGATGCAAAATCAATCAATCAATCGGCCCATTTCTTCTCGTGGGGCAACATGGCAATGCAAGCCATCTTGCTGGTTGGAGAGTTCTGGAGGACTTGAAAATCTAGCAGTGTATTGTTGTATGGGATTTGGGTTTGTCTTGCCAATAGCAAGTTGTCTACTTGCTTGTCTAGTTGTGGATGTTATAGCAGCTCTCCCCTTCCCTCCGCACCCCATTTTTGAGGTCTTATGCTGAGAAATAGCCAGCAGCTAATGTTTTCTTCATCTTCTTTCTACCAAGTAAAACACTCTGTCTAAGAAGTGTAAAGTGTTTCTTTTTTAAAGTTGCCCAATTTTTTATGTTTGCAGTTTTGTTTTTTTAAGGAGGGAGGAGTATCCCTTCACTCTAATGGATGCCTGGCACACATTAATTGGAAAAAAACTTTTTCTATCACTTCATTTTTGTGTACGCAAAAGCTTTCCCTACTGGAACAGCAAATGCAAATGACTTCTTCTTGTTTATTTGCCAAACTAGGTTTTTCCTTTCTTAAATGGCTCTGTGGCATGGGCAGGTTATTAGCAGATAAAAATAACTTCTCTTACGAAAAAGAAAAGCTTCATGAATTGTAAATGATGCAGAGGCTGAGTAAAACTGTCAGTGTTCTACTGATAAAGTTTCTGTGTCTTAATAGTGGCTTGTCTGAAAGGCTGCAATTTTCTTATCTCTTTATTTTTATCCTGGGAAAAATACTTCCCTGCCCTGTTTTGCACCACAGATAAAATGGACTTTCTTTCACGGTATTGCCAATATTTGTCTTCTGAGGAACTGTTATGTATGTAATAATGCAGGAGATAAAACTGATCTCCTTATTTTTTTTCTCTGTGGGCAGGCATAAATAATGCCTGTTGATTTTTAACCATTGCTCAGCACCAAGGATTTCTTGAAAGAAAAGCAAGGTTATACTATGAGGACTTGCCTCTGAATTTGAAGAGCCTATTGGGATATTGCATCCACTGCAGAACACAACCTGAGATACAGAGGTTTATCTCCTTTCCTTTCCATAAATTTGAGGATCAATCAAATGGGGAAGAAAGGGCAGTTTTAAAGCTAGTTTTGTACTTGATCAATCGTTTCAGAGGAAATAGCAGTTATTTATAGAGACTTGATACCTTAAAATCTGCTGTCCTGTGTAGTTGACATGATCAGGCCTGTAAGTGGGCAATTGTTATGGTGAACATCTGGATGAATCTCTTTTTAGTTACCACTGGGATGTTATTAATGAAAGCAGTTAAAGTAAATATATACCATTATAGGGATTGTGAGTGTGATGAATACATACAAAAAAATTGTGCACAGTATATAAATATATTCTTTAAGGACTGGGAGCTTATGCACCGGAGACATTAGTCATACTTGGCTAATAAAGACTAAAAGAATTCTAGCTGTCAGTCTTATTCTTGCACACTTGCACAGCAGTGTGCTGCAGCTGCCAAAAAAGCCAACACAGTGCTAGGATGCATTAACAGAGGGATAGAATCAAGAGTACATGAAGTGTTAATATCACTTTATAATGCCTTGGTAAGGCCACACTTGGAATACTGCATCCAGTTTTGGTCACCACGATGTAAAAAAGATGTTGAGACTCTAGAAAGAGTACAGAGAAGAGCAACAAAAATGATTAGGGGTCTGGAGGCTAAAACATATAAAGAACAGTTGCTGGAATTGGGTATGTCTAATTTAATGAAGAGAAGGGTGATAGCAGTCTTCCAATATCTCAGGGGCTGCCACAAAGAAGAGGGAGGACAAGAAGCAATGGATGGAAATTAACCAAAGAGAGAAGCAACCTAGAACTAAGGAGAAATTTCCTGACAGTTAGAACAATTAATCAGTGGAACAACCTGCCTTCAGAAGTTGTGAATGCTCTAACACTGGAAGTTTTAAAGAAGAGACTAGACAACCATTTGTCTAAAATGGTATAGGGTTTCCAGCCTGAGCAGGGGGTTGGACCAGAAGACCTCCAAGGTCCCTTCCAACTCTATTACTATTATTATTATTATTATTATTATTATTATTATTATTATTATTATTATTTCAATAGCTCTGTGGTAAGGTTTAAGTCATGGCATCTCTAATTATCATTGCCCTTTTCTAGAGAAAGCCTGATATCTCTGTGTAATCCCATTTAGTAACCTCAATTTTACTGAGGGTTGCAATTCCTCTGTTTGGTACTTTTAATACTTGGAGATGGATAGGTCATTAATTCAGAGAAGATGATTAAGGGGAAGAGAAAGAAAAATGTTCATGTCAAAACCATTTATGACATGCCCAACCATATTTCTTGCTTTATTGGTACATATGCTGGCAACATGAGCTTTCAATCCATGTGGATTGAGGCCTTAATGTCCATCTGAGGCAGTGGCTCCCAACCTTTTCTATACCCCGCACCCCTAGAACGATTCTGATATATTCTCACACCCTTTACAAAAGTTTGAAATAACGGCAATGAATTATGCATATACACTATAATTTTGAAAACCCAAGTTCTCGCAACCCCAGTTGGGAACCCCTGATCTAAGGTATGTTTGTGGGATTCCCATTAGAACAACTTAATTCAGCCAATGCCAGAATTGAAGATTAATTCTTATACATGAACACTTGGAAGGCTTAGTCAGAAATGATAGGGAAAATTACTGGAGGTGACTGTAAATGGGCTAGCAGTAAGATTTGTGTCCATGTCCCTCCCAGACGCTATCTAAATCCAATCACGTGTTCTCTAAAAATTCCAGGATTTGTAGGATATATAAGGTGGGAATATGTGCTTTTATTTTCCTCTGTTGATTATGTTGTTATTCCACAATAATAAACTGCATTGTTTGTAATGTATCAGTTGTTTACTGTAATCTCCCACAAGCCTATATTTATTTTGGGGACAAATTATAAAGATGTATTCTGAAGATGTATTTAAGTTTTGTATTCTAAAGACATATTTATTTTGTTTTATTGTGATGGGTTTTTCCTACAGAGGCATACAGATACTCCTCAACTTATAATCACAATTGAGCTCAAAATTTCTGTTGTTAAGTGAGACATTTGTTAAGTGACTTTGGTCCCATTTTCACAATCTTTCTTGCCAGAGTTGTTAAGTGAATCGCTGCAGTTGTTAAATTAGTAACATGGTTGTTAAGTGAATCTGGTTTCCCCCTTTGACTTTGCTTGTGAGAAGGTCGCAAAAGGTAATCACATGATCTTAGGTCATAGCAACAGTCATAAATATTAACCAGTTGCCTGCATCTGAATTTTGATCACGTGATCATGGGAAGGCTACAGAGGTTGTAAGTGTGAAAAATAGTCATAAGTCACATTTTTCAGTGCTGTTGTAACTTTGAGCAGTCACTAAATGCACTGTTATAAGTCGAGGACGACCTGTAGTTTTAGTCCTGTTTGAAGCATTCTCTACACTTTTGGTGTCTTTATTTCAGGTTACTTTGCTTGTTTCTCTTAACTATTGATGCACCCTTGGGGGGGGGGTCTGCTCAGATGAGGCTTCAGTGGAAGGGGTTCCTTCAAATTTGTTTGATTCATTCTTCCTGAAGTAAGAGAAGCATGAGAACACCACGGGATAGCATGTTGATCTTGACTTTGCTTCCCTTGTGTTCTTTCATGTAATTCTGAAGGGAAGTTATCTTGCAGGCACACGGAACATATCTGAAGTTTTGAGGCTATATATTTCTCTGCTGTGCTGCTTCCTTCCTTCCCCTATTTTTATGGCTCTGGAAGGAAGCAGCTGTTTGTTCTTTGTACATACATATTAGGATTGAACTTTCTTGATGTACTATATTGATCTGTTGTAATTAGTTATGACATAGACATAGTTATGACACAGACGTAAGATGGACTTGAACAGGAAGGTCATATCAAGGATAATTCACGGTATCTGAAGCCCCGGGACCATGATTAAGCATTGCTCATAGCCCTATTGCATAAACATCCAATGGGGTGTGTAAGCCAGGTAAGGAAATAGGGAAAGTGAGTAATGTGCTGTATTGCTGGATATAGTTGAGCAATATCATGGAATATGCATGAATGGAAGAGTAATTCTCTTGCATCAGCTTCTGAAGAAGCTTAAAGCTAGTATCCAAGTGACTATTGTTTCTTTACCTTTTGTTGTATGACAAGAACGAAATAAGAACTTATTCAAATACATAAGAAGAAGAAGAAGTTAGCACATATTTTTATAAATAATTGAGCAATGTATTATTGGCAGAGGAGGAAGTTCAGCTAAATGAGAGCAATAGCCCAAGAGGACTCTAATACTATGTCACAAAAATAATTGAATTAGTACTTTGTTTTCTTATTCTCTGTTCCTTAGCTGGTAACTACTGAAATGCTGTGCCACGAATTAGCCAAGAAATATCAGTATTAATATGTTCTCTAGCAATGTAGTTCTTTGTGCTATATGATTGAGGGATCGAAAATGCATTTTTAAATTCCTTTTATTTAGCTTGGTACTTGGAGTACATTGAAAAAGGAGAGCATGTTGTTTCTTTCAGAACATTCTAAAAGAAATATTCTGAATGATTTCCCCTCAACTAGGGATGTTCTATTTAAGTCACCATAACCTTTTTTCTATTTACATAACTTTAGTGATTATTAATTATCTGAAAACTTTCTAACCTATGTTAGAACTATC